CTGTCTGCGCTCCATAGGAATTTAATACTGAATACATTTAGCTAATAGACAAAAGACTTAATGAAATTCAGACAGCAAGTGAAAATAAATAGATTTCTGGCAAAATTACCCTTTTTTTTTTTTAAATGAGTCAAACAAAACACATTTTATTGCTATTCAAACATCTACAAAATGTAGAGCTTTGCAAATCTGTTAGAGATGTAGAACAGGCGGATATGGACTCAGGGTAGTGGGTAATTTTACCATCGATTGTATCATTTTATTTCTCTAAATTTTAGTTCTACATGTTAAAAATACTTTCTGAATAATCTGACTCCTTAGGTGTAAAATCTAGGGGTTGGTGGGTGGTTTTAGAATGCACTGTCGTGTCTTGTTAGTAGCAACGAAAAGTAACGCTGAATAAACTATCATTATTGAATTTTCTCTCGGAAATGACACTTAGTAAAATACAAAGAGGGAGGAAGTGGGAGGATGTCATAAGGAAAGGAGACTGGGACTGAAAGCGTGGCAAAAAAATAAAATAAACCATATTAAAAGGAGAATTTCAGGAAGACATAGAGTAATAAAACAGCGACAAACATTATTTTGCTGGCATTTAGCCATGTAAGATTTTAAGGTGTTATTAAATTAGAGCTTTATTTATCTTTAAAAGTACTGAATCCTGTGGGGTTTAAAAGGAATCTTACTCATTTATTCACGATATTCATTATGTTTCCTTATTGTAGAATTAGACGTTTTGTTTTTTATTTGGCAGTTATCAATTAAAACATATATTATACTGCTATTTTAAACAAGCAGTGGTTTTGATATATAGATGCCATCCCTTTACTCGAATAAGTTATGAGAAGTGGTAATGTCTATATTTGTTAGAGCCACTGGAACACTAGAGGCAGCTCTTCCGTAAGACGTCCATATTCTACATCATCCCGCACAAACATGTATTCCTAATACTATAGTGTTCTTCCAACTTTTATGGTTACCAACTCCCACGGAATTTAAAAAAAAAATTGTTTTATTCATCTTGCAGCCCTCGCCACGCCAGTCTCCATGATCCTGTCCCTGCCTCCTTGGCTTAGGTCATGAATACTGATGATTGCAGTCAATCCAATGGTTCCCCGTAGTGAAGCATTTAGAGGCTAAAGCACATGCACAGCAAAATGCGGCTCTGCACCAATCAAATGCTCTCTTTGATTGAAAAACCAAGTTTGACTCAGTTATTCAATGGAGAGCCTTACAGTGGCTGTCATGAAGACAGCCGTATGCACTTAATGGCTATGTTTTACATTGCAATAATTCTAAAGTACTACTGCACCCAAACCACTTCATTGAGATGAAGTGGTCTGGCTGCCTTTAGTGGTCCTTTAACTTTTGCCAAATTGTATATTGTGCCTTTATAATATAGTTTTAAAACTAAAATAAGGAGAGAGAAATCTTGGAATGGCGATATTTTTAATCAAAACGTAGCCCAGCTTTTCTGGGTACAGTTAATGGCTAATTAATTTTTATATCTGTTCTTAACATATCTGTTTAATGTGATCTCTCGTGCTATTTTGAAATGTTTTTCAATATATATATATATATACACACACACATTTATTTTTAACATTAGTGTGTTGTTTTTTAAAGAAAATAACAGCAAATCAGACAATGGGTTTACTAAAAACAAAAGGAGAAGACTTCTAATGTCAGACTGGTTAATGCTAGAGGCACGTGAAGAAAATTGGAAATTGGAGTCTTACATTTGCCTTGAATGTCTCTCTTGCCATTTATCAGTTACAGTGACTATCACTGTCCCAGAGGGCATTTAGTCACTATGACTGGTGCAGTGCAAGGAAAAATAGCATTATAAGTATATGTTAAATGTTAAATATATCTCTTCTCCACTTTGAATCATTGATATGTTAAACTAGTAGCTCATCAATACACACTTACTTATACATGCTTTTTAAATGATAAAAAAAAGAGTTAAAATGTCATTTTTATAGGACACTGCCACAACCAAGAAGATAAAAGACATTTAGTTGTATTGTCCTTAAATGGCACTTCATGTGGGCAGGTTATAGAAGTCAACCATGTTAAAAGGACATTTTACTCTAAATGTTGGAAAATATTTATGAATATAATATCACAAAAAAATAGTTTTCTTTAATGATTATGATCGCTTTGTGGTGCAAGGTGAAAAAAGACTGAAAGTATGATGTAATAGTTAAAAAGCTAAATAGAATGGCCCTCAAGGAGTTAAGTAACACACAACGCACGTACACAGCTGTTAGATTAGTTATTGGACCACGTAAGCCAATATGTATTGTCACATAATCAACTACTACTACTTTAAATCATTTAATAAACATCAAATAAAATGATATATGTAGTCATCTAACTTTCATTTGAGCCGCATAGTGAGTAACTATTATAGATCTTGTTATGCTCCTACACAAAAAGTGCAGAATAATTAACAAACAACTAAATGTAAAAATACATTTACCCATAACGAAACATGACAAAACCAAAATCAAGTGTATCCTACGTTGCATGTGAAATGTTTTTTTTAAGCGGATATATTTTATAAAGTGATTCTCGTGTTTCATTATTTCAGTCGAGTATTAATGAGATTTTTGTGGCATGAGAGAATACAGCTGTGTACATCTCTGCGGTACTAATAAACAAAACTGCTCATTCCTTTTGTGAATTTAGGGGTCAGTGCGTGAATGTGGTGTTTATATGCAATGAAGGATTCAGTGATTTAAAAATGATATTGAGCAGATTGTTTAATAGTATATTATACACTAAAATACTTGAGTTCTATAAATAAAACATTTTTTTTTCTGTCTGTTGTGAAGAATTGCCCCCACCTGAATTCACCCCGCCTCACATTAATGTCACTCAGGCCAATAAATTATGTTTACAGCTGTATTATGTGAGCAAACGTGATACTCTTCATCCTTACAAGATAAAACTGTGCAGGGTCTTATGGGAAATATTACAGCTGACAATGCTCCAATTATGTGGCAGTATTTGCTCGTGAAAGATCATTCTTCCATTATGTTCTATCCGATGCAGAGTTGAAGCTCGGGTGTTTGGGCAGTTAGTAGATAGTCTGAGCCACACATTTTACCAGTAATTTAAAGAAAAACAAACCAGTAAATAATGTATGCCATAAAAATACCACATACAGGTTTACAAGGTTCACAATATTCAAGGGACACTTCATTGTCCTAATAAAAAACACACACACACACACACACAAAACACAACAGCCTCCTCCCCAATATCTAGCAGATTTATATCCCATTTTATTATTTATAAAACAGTTTGCGAAAGCTGCAGATCTCTGGTCTGCAGGCCTTGCAAGCCCTCCTTTTCTAACCCAGCCCAAACTTTCTGTGTCTGTCCAATCACAGACTTCCCAATGCAGCTCAAGACTTCCCAATTGCAGTCTTTGCAAGGCAGGTTTAACCCATATGCACTAGTAAGGAAGAGTTTATCTTAGGGACTGAAAGCTTCATCTGATTCTCTCATCATATCATTGGTCACCCAATGTGAGGAATGATTTAGAAGCATGTAGTTAAATGAGTGTTCCCTTAACTGGCATACTGGAAGCTCTAATTAGATGTTACTGGTGGCTCAGATGTTCTAAGAGGATTTTATGAGTGTATATTATTGGCTATTTTGTAACACCTACATTTCTCTGTTTTACATTATTGTGTTATATTGTTGTGGCAATCACAGAGGTCAGACGTTTCTTGTAGTTGGCCACCAGGTTTGCACACATCTCAAGAGGGATTTTGTCCCACTCCTCTTTGCAGATCCTCTCCAAGTCATTAAGGTTTTGAGGCTGACGTTTGTCAACTCACACCTTCAGCTCCCTCCACAGATTTTCTATGGGATTAAGGTCTGGAGACTGGCTAGGCCACTCAAGGACCTTAATGTGCTTCTTCTTGAGCCACTCGCTTGTTGCCTTAGCAGTGTGTTTTGCGTCATTGTCATGCTGGAATACCAATCCACGATATCAGTGCCCTGGCTGAGAGAAGGAGGTCCTCACTCAGGATTTGACGGTACATGGCCCTGTCATCGTCCCTTTGATGTGGTGTAGTTGTCCTGTCCCCTTAGCAGAAAAACACCCCAAAGCATAATGTTTCCACCCCCATGTTTTCTTGAGTTGGGGGACCTTGCGTGCGCTGCAGGATTTCAGTCCTTCACAGTGTAGTGTGTTACCAATTATTTTCTTGTTGACTATGGTTCCAGCTGCCTTGAGATCATTAACAAGATCCTCCCATGTAGTTCTGGGCTTATTCCTCACCATTCTCATGATCACTGAAACTCCACAATGTGAGATCTTGCACTGAGCACCAGACTGAGGGAGAATGACAGTTATTGTGTTTCTTCCATTTGCGAATAATCGCACCAACTGTTGTCACCTTCTCACCAAGCTGCTTGGCGATGGTCTTGTAGCCCATTCCAGGCTTGTGTAGGTCTAAAATCTTGTCCCTGACATCCTTGGACAGCTCTTTGGTCTTGGCCATGGTGGAGAGTTTGGAATCTGATTGACTTGATTGCTTCTGTGGACAGGTGTCTTTTATCAGCGGTTACTCTGTCAAACACGTCTTTTGGATACCATCTCCTCCCTATGTCTTTCATTATGTTTGACACTGACACTCACCTTGAAAGATCGTGTATAGTGCTAATTATAATTCTTCTTAAAATGGTCCCACAGGATTCTTATGGTTTCCGACTGGTGCAGTACCTCCTAGGACCACGTGCTGGCTCTAGTGCTGTTTCAGGTTAAAAAATGTCTCCAGTGTAAACATCAAATCCGGCAGGAGCATAACAGCAAGTAAGTAGCTCTGGGGGATACTGAACTTAAATAAACACAAAGAAAAGAGAGGAATGCTCTGAGCTTGTGACACTCCTTCTGATGATACTGTGTAACTTCTTGCATACACTAGAAAAATTAGTCACTGCTGCATGCACCCATGACAAAATATTCTCTATGATGTACACACAATTGAAGCTTTTTAATAACAACCTACACCACACTGATGGGTACTACCGCTATATACCCATCATATTGACTCTGTAGGATCCATAACTTGTGTTCATAAAATAATAAATATGTTGCATTTAAATATACACAGGCTATTTTAGCCAAAAATATATTTTGTATCTTAACAACCATACCGAAACAAAATGTGTTTTTTTTAAAATCATTTTGAATTTACAAATGTCACACTTTACACTTCTAATCAAGAAAACATGAACCTCTATGCTATAGATTTTTTTGTTTTTATTTTTAGACATAGCACACATTTAGTTTCTTGGAAAGTTGTCATGGATACAATGAAACATAACTTGTGTGAACTGTCAAAACAGCTTGTTAGACCCGATGCATGTGAGTGTGTGTGCCTATGTGTGTGTGCATGTGTATGAACTGGGTGCTTACTTTGGTATTTGTTCATTCACCAAATTTTTACATATTTGCTTTCGTTACATTTAATTTTAGCTTAGAGAAATTAAATGAGCATTTCAGTGACAGAATAAGATTCTAAGTTTGTTTGAGCAGGGTCTTTATCAGCCTATTGTTACTGTCAAAATTTGAGATAGTTTGTCTTATTTGTTCTTACTCCCCTCCACCCTCCCCGCCTCTCTATTATTGTAATACACTGTGGAACAGGTTGGTGTATATAAATGTCAATAATAATAAAACCAAAATGTGCATACATATAAACAATACATCAAATTTAGCATCCTCATTAATTCAGAACGTGAAAAAGATAGGTCAACTTGTGCCGTCACACTGTTTTTTTTCAGTGCCCCGATAAGCTCATGCAGTCTAAAGTGATTGCAATGTGACCATCCCCCTACTATTTACAGCATTTAGGGGAATAAATATTTGTCAAACACTTTTTTTCTAATGAATGTGATTTTTTAGAAGCCGATAGAATTTGTTTTTGACTATTGGGAATTGCAAAACAGAATGTTCCAACATAACAAGTAAGCTGTACTGATTATGATGCCTTTTTAAAACGTATAGCACAACACTTTGTCTTATTGCTGCTCTACCATCATCTACTCCACTTTCCTAAAAATAAATGGTAAAATAAGGCAGCAAATTTAAAATACCTCCTGCATGGTGTCTGCATACTGCTTTTTACTCTTCTTTAGTACTGCCAAACCACTTTATATCCCCTTGATCTTATCCTCTATCACCTTATTCAATTATCTTCAACTCCTGTACCATCTTTCACCAAAGTCTTCTATCTCTCTCTGTCTCTCTTCTGGTATATTTCCCAACTGATCTAAAAAATGCTTCATTCACTCCCTTAAAAAAATAGCCTACAGTCCTCATCCAACTACCATGCCACCTCCCAACTAGTTTTCACCGCAAACTGTTCCAATGGTTATAAATATCAAACTGATCGACACTCTCTATCCTCCTTTCTATGTTTTTTCATTGTTGTTCCTCAAGATTCCGTTTTGAGCCCCATCTGTTCTCACCCTACACTGCCTCACTTGGTGACGTGACCAACTATTTTTGTTTTTAATATCACTTGTATGCTGACGGCAGCCGAGATATGCTGATGACACCCAGACCTAACTCTTGTCCTCTGAACTCTAATCTTACCTCTACATTGTGTCACCAGTTACCCCACTTCCTTCTCCATATGGTTGATTGCTATCTTTAACTTAATCTCTCAGAAACCAAACCTATTATCCATCCTTAAATGCTCATCCTCCATGATTGGTATCCCACCAGTTTAACCATGCAACCATTAATCCTACCTTGCAGTTTTGCTGTCTATCTTTCCCTCTCTTTTTTCAGGCCTCTCCCTCCACAAAGTTAGTCGATTTCCTAATCCTGTCACTTCCATTTAAAATATGACTCACATCCACCACTTACTGACACCTAGTAAAACTATAATACTTATACATGCTCTAGGTATGTATCCCATTAACAAAACTCACTGCTCGTTGGTCTTACTCAATTCTAGACTTCCCCCTTGTTATCCATAATGGCTGTCGCTGCCAGATAAAGCTAGTAGATATCTCGCTCCTCCCAAACATCTCTATTTTCTTAGTACTCTACACATTCTTAAAATCAATCTGAAATCCTTGTTTGTACCTATTAAACTAGCTATAACAATGCACTAACCTACAAATCTTCCCTAATAAAGAATATTGACATCTCTTCTCTGCTGATATGCTGATATGCCTTTCCATAGTTCGCACTTGTGCCAACAACCTCGATTTTTCTGTCTCCAGATAAATATATAAATAATATAAATTGCTGCACTAAGCCATTATACATATGTAATTATTCAATGCCCTTTCTTCCTTCATAAAGCCTATCATAAAGAAAAAGTGTTCATAGTGTAATACTGTAACACAATTTAGTATGCTTCCAATAGCCCCTCTGAGACAAACTCACAAATGTTGAGTAAAACAGTGCCACCCATGCTACGTCACATGGGGAGGATCAGATCTTCATTAAGGTGGATCCAAATACAGAAGATCATCAATGGCAGAACGTCTTAGGTCCAAGATTCATTATTATTTAATAATAAAAATTAAAACTTTACATATCAAAAACTACTTTGGACATGTGGGCTTATTTGAAGAGCTTCTCTCCACCGAATTGACTTTTTGAATAAGTGTTTTGCGTGATGTAACAATTACTGGTTACTACATTATATTTTCTTTCAAACAGAGGTATATGTATTGGCATTAGTGTCATAGGCACCAATGTAACGTTCCCTAATCTACGTGATGAGTGACACGTAAGATTAGGGTACTCTACACAACGTTCAATAGTAACTCCAAGCAATACATGTTTTAATAGTTTTCACACAATGGGCGGTGGGGTCTTTGAAAACATGATTGATCAACTGAACATTTCTAAGTTTCATTATTTTGGTAAATGTGTTAGTGAGCAATGTATTTTTTTTATTTAGCATAATTTAGAATTATTATTATTATTTTTTTTAAGCTTTATCTAATTCATTAAACATTTTATGAGACATTTACACAAAGAACATTTTATATTTAATTACATAGTTAATCTCTGCAATTAAAAAGTATTTTGGGATCTAGACTAATTATCGGGGGCATTTGACATAAAATAATAAACCTCTAAAAATCATGTCATTTTGCGAATTTAAATGTTGTTTTGATAAAGTTTTCATTTTCACCCTACGTTTAAATTAGCATTTTCATTGTTGATTTTGCACTCCGAAACAAAGTGTGAATTTACACCAATAGAATTGTAAATTTATGTGAAGTATGAAAATGTTCTTTTGCAAATTCTAAATTTTAGTGTTAGTGAATACCTTAAAAGACTTCCAAATCCCACTATGCAAATACACAATTTAATTATATCTTCACAATGTCACAGATGGATATTTTCTTGTGATTAAATATACTATAAAATCTTCAATATGTAACTCCAGACTACTTGCATTTTTGTATATTTAAAGCACATGAAGGTATTTCTTGTACATTCTAGAATTTCTCTATGCTGTTTCCTATGTATGAAGGACAGAGCTGTGTTCCAAGCCTATAAATGTATTTATAAGTTGAGTATTTCAAGGAAAGAGCTTATTTATTTAATTCTTCCAAGGACTATTATCCGGCTTGAGATAGTTGTTGCTACCTTGCTTCATATTGCAGCAGTTTTAGAGCTCCTAATTCAGGGGTAAACAATCTTCGGCACTCCAGATATTTTGACCTACTTCTCCCTTAAGGTCCTTACAGCCATGATACTGGCCGAACATCATGGAAGATGTAGTCTGCAACATCTGGAGTGCAGAAGATTTCTAAGACCTGTCTAGTTACAGGTTAGCTTTTCAGTATTCATTGTACCCGTATATTCAACTACCCATGTTTCCATTTGGTTCCTGCTATCCAGCTTTCTAAAATTGGATTCCAGCATTCCTAGTCAATGTTCATTTGGTCTCGCTTTGAGTTGCTCTGCTCTGTGTTGCCTTGGCCTAGGATTAAGATCATTAAGTCTCTCGATATGTGGAGCCCTAGAGGTGTTTGAATGCACATTAAACATGGGTGATCTGCAATTTTCAAATAAATAGAGATTCCACCCTGTGATATTATCATTCTTGAGAAACTGAAATCTAAAAAAAAAAAAGAATAAGAAATTAAAGGGACACTATAGTCACCTGAACAACTTTAGCTTAATGAAACAGTTTTGGTGTATAGAACATGCCCCTGCAGCCTCACTGCTCAATCCTCTGCCATTTAGGAGTTAAATCCCTTTGTTTATGAACCCTAGTCACATCTCCCTGCATGTGACTTGCACAGCCTTCCATAAACACTTCCTGTAAAGAGAGCCCTATTTAGGCTTTCTTTATTGCAAGTTCTGTTTAATTAAGATTTTCTTATCCCCTGCTATGTTAATAGCTTGCTAGACCCTGCAAGAGCCTCCTGTATGTGATTAAAGTTCAATTTAGAGATTGAGATACAATTATTTAAGGTAAATTACATCTGTTTGAAAGTGAAACCAGTTTTTTTCATGCAGGCTCTGTCAATCATAGCCAGGGGAGGTGTGGCTAGGGCTGCATAAACAGAAACAAAGTGATTTAACTCCTAAATGACAGTGAATTGAGCAGTGAAATTACAGGGGAATGATCTATACACTAAAACTGCTTTATTTAGCTAAAGTAATTTAGGGGACTATAGTGTTCCTTTAAGAGCTCTTCTACCCTCAATAGCCACATGCCACTATGAGCATGTGGCTCTGTTACATGCAAAGGGGAGCAGCCTTCCCATTATTGGCAGTGAGGCAACTCCATGCACACCAATGACACTAGTGGTGGAAAGTCAGAGGAAATAAAATGGCGAACATATTTTAAAATTGGCCTGCTAACCTTCAAAGCCTTAAACAATCAAGGCCCACGGTACCTGAAAGAGCTCCTGACACCCTACATTCCATCCCGTTCACTTTGGTCAGCCAGCAAATCCTTCCTGTCAGTGCCAGGTATAAAGACAAACTCAGGTTCCAGGGCATTGAGCCACCTTGCCCCTACCTTCTGGAACTCTTTACGGTGCGCAATCAGAGAGGCACCGTCCTTACAGACTTTTTTTTTTAAAAGCTAAAGACCCACCTCTTCCACCAGGCATTTAGTCCACTCAGCTGACCTTCAGAAACTCCTAACTTGTATGTCTTTATGTTTGTTTATTTGTAAAATGCTTGAGTCTCACAGGAAGAAAATCGCTATAAAAATCGCAATTTATTATATTATTTCTAGCGGAATGGGCTTTGCTACAGTTCACTTTCATACTAGAGGCTGTCCATGACCCTTTTGTTGCTTTATTTTATTGGGATTGCAACTGTTCATTACTTGTAAAAACAAGTAACAAGTTATCATTTTGTATCGTTCGTCTGGTTGTTCGGAAATGCCCCTCTATTCAGCAATTTCTACTATATAGTTTGGCAAACTAACTAAATACTGAACAACCAGGCCACCCATGCAAGGAGCGTGGCACCAATTAGCCTCCCCAACCTGGTTCACACTCTCTGATTGCAAACACACGAACAAACTTGGTGAACTCCTGGGTGGCTGCCATTCGTCATACGAACACGTGGTGGCGGCCATCTTAGCATACGAATTCCGCCAGCAGTGTTTGGTGGTCGAGTGTCTGGAACCCAAATCGGATACTCAACAGCACGAACACCGTAGAGACTTCCATCGTCATGTAAGTTCGTGTGAACTCAATGGAACAGAGGGGCATTTGGTAAAAAGAATTAAATGAACAAGAGAAATTTCACGAACTAAGACACAAACCATAATTTTATGTACTTTCATGCATTTCAACTTCCTGAACAGAGGCCGACCGCACAGGCCAAACCCATGGAACTATTCTCGGCTTACACCTCATGTGCGGTCGGTAAAACTAAGACCTCCATAAAACTGTCGAAACCCTGAACCTATCTGGGTGATTTTTCAGTATGTTGCTCCCCCAGATTGGGGCTATCATAGGATGTTGGAATTATGAGTGTATGACATGTTTTTGGGGTATTTCCAGAAAAGTATGAAAATTGTGATTTTTCTATTTGGAGATAATTGAGTTGATACAGTAATTAACTCAATTATCTCCTGAGCAGAGGCGAGGGTTTGTGTGTAATGTATGGGAGTGACTTATTACTTGCCTCTGTCTGTATTGCTTGTTTTATATTTTTACCAGTGCCCCACAAGGTCTACCTGTTTGTGGATTAGCTTTGGGGCAAAACCTGCATAAAAGTCCAGCCTGGCCATTAAAGATTCAGTTCTGCTCCTAATACTGAGTGTCGTCCAGTTATTGGGAAGGGTGATGGGATGTTCGTGGATTATCTCGTACATGTGCCTGCTGTCTTGAAGTTTCCTGTTTGTTCCTGAGTAGCTGTTGGAGAAGAGGCTCTGCTACCACTGCTCTCCGCTACATTATTATTAGAATTTAAAGTGAAGTACTTAGCTGAAGGGAAACACATCTTCCACATCACTAATACCCAATGCCACATACCCTAAAAAAATCCTGCCCCCTGCGCTTATGGGGTCCATGTCATGTGGGGACTCCGCCTCCACCGTGGGTGTTGATGCCTGATACTATAATTGAATTGCGAGCCATTGTGAGGAGGAGAGTGGCTATGCTTCCACAGCTTGTGAAGATTGCAGCCATGAATGGGCTAGCCCTGCCGAAGATCCCAGTGTGTACTAACGTGATGCCACCGCAGATGAGAAAGGAGATTTGACAATGGGGTACCAAGTAAGTGAGCCAGGGGACCTGACATGTACTTACCTCTTTCAGCTACCTTATGCTAATGTGCGCTCTACCTAATTTCCTGTTTTGTTCTGTTGGTGTTCTAGGTTTGAAACGTTAGATTAGATTCAAGACATGATATGCCAGGATATTACAGAATACTTAGGAACCTTCTAGAACATTCCAGGATAGTCCAGAACACTCCATATTAAATTATTTTTGAATGGCACTTAAATTATTCGAATGGCACTTCTCCCTTGATGGGAAGTATGTACAGGGGCCTAATATCCTTGTTCCTCAGTTCTCTCCAGCCTTCTATTTTTCTTCACTGTCCTCTGACCTCTGGCTTCTCCTTGATTGACCATTTTCCTCATATGACTGCAATAATGGAAAAGCCTTTGCTGTGGTTTTTCCCCCAAAATAAACTCAGGACCCCAGATACGCAAAACGATGATGATATTACATTTGTTGTTTTCACAGATAACTAAATGTTACTTTTGCTCTCTGTACTGATGACAACTACAGCAATACAGCGTTCATAATACATATTTTGTAAAAATATGTTACAGCAAATCTTTGTTAAAGTAAGAGTAAAAGAAGAAAGAGTTCATAATGTTTCCTAACCTATCTCTTACTATTTTATATGTTTTTGTTGATTTTTAATTTTAAAGATGTGTAATTTAAATTATGATTCCAAATACTTAAGTTAAAAAAACAGAAATGCGCCGGTGTAACATGTAGGTAGTGTGGTCATTTTGATAATTATAGTTAGAGGTAAAGTACCTTTGAAAAACAAGTGCTTGTTTAGCTCCTATCATTATCTAGGAAAGAAAAAGCTAGCTGTACTTTTGTTCTTGTAGTATATCCAATATTTCTCTGTCTTCCTTTCTCTCACTCACCCTCTCTCAATCCCTCCCTCTAGATTGCTAGAACTTTAGGATAGATCCTTAGGTCTGCAGCAAAAGAAACCCTCCTGCTATGTTTCTTCATATCTCTAAGCTAGCCTTGAAATGTCCCAGGAATTAATTTCTCATTCAACATCTTATCTGTAGTACAACTTGTAACTTCATATAATCAGATAAAGAAAGTGAAATTCAGCAAAGCTATGAAAATCTCCAATTTTATTATTGGCATAAAGAGTTCTCAAATTAATTGGAAGAAAAGTAAAAGTTGCTTCTGTGTCAAAGAGATTTCTGTACAATTGTTAAAATATTATGGTATACTATCATTTTATATACCTTTAATATTGTATGGCATAACTTTCAGTTTAAAATAAAAATTTTCAACAATTGGATCCTCAATTTACTAATCTGCCTCCGCATCCAATGTGGACTTGTCAGGCTGCCATTCATCCACAATGGCCAGTGCCGGTGTAAAATATTGATCCTCCTTGGATGAGGTGGGCAAAGTCACTCCAGGGCCAAATGCAGTTTAGTCCATTTTAACAGAGACTTGCTCTTCCGTTTAAATGGTTTATGGGAAACTCACATCCAATACCATTTGGTGGGCCTATGTGCAAGAGGCTCAGAGCTATCAGAGCGGAGAGAGTCCCCTGACCATCCATCTTGTTCATGGGAGCGCACAGGCAGACGTGCCAAAGGAGATTGTTGGAAAAACTTTAGCTAGATCCTTCTCTACCATCACTACCACTGCAGCATTAATTATAGATAACAATTCCACTCTGTGAGCTTGAGAGTCCTCCATAATACCAACCTGCAGGGGTAATATATCAGCAGTAACTACAACAGGTAAAAGCCAGAAACTTATTGCAGTGGTTCATGCTAAGAGGTAGGAGTCCACGCAGGACAAGACTCGCAATATGGGGAAAACCAAAAGGACAAATCCAGGCAGACAATGAGCACTAGGTAGACAGTGCAAGGATGCAGCTTGCTCAGGGATGATCAGGATCATAACCAACGAGAAGAGGGGAGAGACAGCCACCCACAGTAAGGACAGGAAAGCCATAAATCGTGGCCCGACAAAGAGCTAAGCTCCAACTGAGGGAATCCACAGAGCATGTAGCCATAAAAGAACAGCACAGAAACAATGGAATATAAATGATTAATAATTACAAAGAAATATTGGCAATATAGAAGAGAAGTACTCTGACCTGTAACCACAAGTGGAGCAGCAAAGAAAGAGAAAGTGGCTACGTGCTTTGACTTTTTATGCAGTAAAGAAAGTATAGCAAATATGAAGCCTCCCTCTTGGCATAGATTTAAATTATAAGCAATCTTTTGATGCTATTTTTTGCTTTTATGATGCTAAAAGTAATAGTCACACCGTCATTAGACGAAATTGAAACTGATAATGTGGAAGTGTTAATTCCATGTTATCAATGTGATACCTCAGGGAGACCTAGTTTATATTAAAACATTTGTCAACAGTTGGATATTAAACTGGGATATGGTGTAAAGGCATAATTAATTATTAATTAATCAAACCATTATAGACAGCTCATTATGGTTGTGTGCCTTTAAGGAAAATGTAAAATAATTTTTTGCAGAATTGTAAAATATGCATCGCTGGAAAGGAGCAAAACCATTTTTCCCAAGATACTTTCCATCATGTGCATTACAATTATCTCTGGATACTTAGCTATATAACTCCACTTTATTCCAGCAATATCCAAGCAATTATAGTGTTCCTTAAACTACCAATGCGGGTATATAGGGACTTCACATGTACTTCAATTGGAGATCATTAACGCAAAGTAAATCTCATCATACTTTCAGGCATTGCAGGTACTTTTATTATGCAAACTAGTCATCAATTCTGGAAAAGAAAAGACAACAAAAAAAACAACAACAATATGAATGAAAATGTGAAAAAAAAAATTATTTTCCTTTGCGTGTAAAATCTTCAGCAATCTTTAAAATGGTTTTTTACAGTCAAGTACAAAATGTGCAATTTTTCCTGAGTAAAAATACAGTAACTCCATCTCAATAATCTCTGCTGTAAATCCTTTGCATGCATCTACAAAAGTTTAAAAGAAGAAAAACTACCACAACAAGAGGACATAGTCTTAAATTAGAGGGGCAAAGGTTTAAAAATAATATCAGGAAGTATTACTTTACTGAGAGAGTAGTGGATGCATGGAATAGACTTACTGCTAAAGTGGTAGAGGTTAACACAACTAGGGAGTTTAAGCATGCGTGGGATAGTCAGAAGGATATACTATATAAGATAAGGCTATGGACCAAATGAAAGTATTTAGAAAATTGGGCAGACTAGATGGGCTGAATGGTTCTTATCTGCCGTCACATTCTATGTTTCTACGTCTAAGCTACCTGGCAGGGCCTTCACCTGCCGGCTTGGTTCTTATGGTAGATCACTTGTCTCTGTTAGAACTATGCTTTCCAAGCCTTCACATAATTTGTACAATTTTTCTTGTGGTTCACATATCTTGTCACCAGGGATACTTTTCTTCGTTCATTCTTTGCGTTTTCCAATTTCTATGTCATTTGTAACCTAAGTTTTTATTGTGTTCTGACAATGTTAGTATTTTTTTTTATTTTATTTTAAAAAAAGAATAAAAGCAATGATGCTTTAAACGGGGTGGCAAATCTATAGCAAGAGAATATAAATGGGAGAGATGGAAATACAAATATTAAGAAATAAAAATAGGACAAAAGACTAACTGATGACAGAAAACGATGGGTGGGAAATGAGATGGGCAAGTAAAGTCAGGATAGATTCTGAGACCGATGAGGGAGGAGAAACTAAGATGAGAGATAGCGGAAAAACAAAGTGTAGGGCATGCAGGAGGGCTAGAATTATAAAAGGGAATAAAGGAAACGGGAAAAGGGAAGAAATGACTGAAGAATGGTAGAGGAAAAAGATGGAGAGATTGAAAGAAAATGGTAGGGGGTTCTCGAATTTCTGTTTTAAGGAACGTATCAACACCGTTTGGTGTTTGTTGACTGACAAGCATGCCTCTGGCTAACATTATACAATGGCCGATGATAAATGTCGTTGACGCCCTAACTTTTACGATCACATGCTGGCACATACACCATCAGTAGAAATTCATTTTCTGATTGCTCGCGGCAGAGCCCAGGGAGGCTTTTTTTCCCCATCATTTTTTATGTGTTGAATCTAGTTGTGAATAAATAATGCATGAACTTGTATTTTATTTATATATCTCTAAACAGGTGTACTTAGCACTTGGCATGTTACATTACATAAGGTGCTTTAACTGCACTAATTATACCGTCGTTACAAAAAGTTATCATAAGATTTGCTTTAAAAAGGTCTCTCCTTGACAAAGGAGAATTAAAAATGTTAATTCACAGTAAATTATTCTATGATGGAATTGTGTTAAAGAGAACACAGCTTTATGCTATTTACAATACGTCTTAATAGTACAGAATGCCCCATACTGTAGGTTTAGGAGGTGTTTAGTAGACTCAAGCTTTCAATTGGTTGTTCGGATGTATTTCATATTTCTGAAGCGACATTCGGACGTATACAGGAGCAAATAATTAGCACAATGGATGAACATTTGGTATTCGAAGTTCTGCCAGAGGAATCAAAGGAAGAAAAGATTTATTGAGTAAGAAATAATTGACAGGTAGGAGATAACTACTAAATCTTGATATTACCCACAGATCAAGTGAAAAGTTACCAAGAGAAAAAAAAGAGCAGTAAAAACATCTATATTTATATATTTCTATTTCAGGAAAAAAATGTTGGCCAATCAAAACAATTGTACAATACACAAGACTAGTGTTAGGGGGAATCCAGTGTTATGGTCAGCAAAACAACTTTTGCTCAATGATGTACAGATCATGCCTCTGTAGTCTCACTGCTCAATTCTCTGCCATTTAGGAGTTAAATCACTGTGTTTATGCAGACTCTGTTAATAGCCTTCTAGACCCTGCAGAAGCCTTCTGTGTGTGATAAAAGCTCCAAATATCTCTGTAAAAGCAAAGGGATGGAGGGGTAGGAGGGTGAGAAAAAGTAGAGATGACACAGGGTTATGGGTAAGTTTTGCTGCAGGTGCTGGTAATTCAGTTGGTACCAGAAATGGAGAATTCACCGCAAGCAGCTAGCTGTCTAATTGTAGCAGAGCCAGACGTCACAACTCACTCACAGACCAGGTGGGGCCCCAGGTAGGGGCCACTAGAATGAAAATAAAACAGGAGGGTGGCCGTTATAGATTTAGATGACAAAGGCATGGATACATTGTACATTAAACATTACACTGTACATATTACCTTTACTTAAAGGACCACTATAGGCACCCAGACCACTTCAGCTTAATGAAGTGGTCTGGGTGTCAGGTCCATCTAGGATTAACCCTTTTTTCTGTAAACATAGCCTTTTCAGAGAAACGGCTATGTTTACCTATGGGTTAATCCAGACTCTAATGGCTGTCTCATTGAAATGGAGGAGGAGAGGAGGAGGAGAGTTCCCCGCCCGGCGCTGGAGAATAAGGTAAGTTTAACCCCTTCCTCCCCCTCAGGGAACTATAATGGTCCTTTAAGGCTACGGAATTTAGTTCATTAATTATATGAGGAAGGAAGACAAGGATATTATGGGGTAGTTGGGAGGACAGGAAGTGTGAGAATGTGTATTTGAAAAAAGGATATACACAAACCCTATTTAGCTTCCTTACACACACTGAATAAGTGACCACCCTTCCATAGCAACAGAATGCTCTGTATTCATTCAATAACAATCTACAGGATGGCCCATCAGTCCCTACCCATCCATATATCTTATGTATCCAGTGTATCTGTGTGTTGGATGGGTAGGGACTTATTGGACACCCTGTACATTAACGGAACGAGTCACATGGGTGACAGGCTCTGTGTAAATTGGACAATATAGTGTGAATCAGGGCATATAGCGTTAATAAGTGAATAAAGCTAATAAAGTCCCTCTTAACACTAAACACACTAATCCTAAATACCCTTAACCCTATGCCCCCCTAAATCCAACCTGTAATCCCACCAATTCCAAAACACTACCCCAAACACCCTCTGTCCTAACCTAACCTGAGCAGGATCTGATTCAGCTGAAGCTTGTTTATTTTATCTGCGATTTAATGCACCTTAGTCTTATAAACACAGTGTCAGCATACAATGCCATTTTATAGTGAAATCTAAAACACACTTGTTCAACTGCAACGAACACAATGCAATACAAACTCGAGAAAAAACTTAGAAAATGTTTGTTAAATTTCTCCAACTTACCTACACTCACAGCTTAACTCTTTTAGTCAATACCTTGCTTTCCCATCCTCTACAAATCACTGTTTAGTGAATAATCCCCAACATTTCCCATTAGTGTTAATCCCTCCAAGACCAAAGCTATGGGAATAATACGGGATTTACCCATACCGATTTACAATAGACAGACGGGGCACTTTAATTTTAGGGCTGTGAGTGGGGGTGTGGCCAGCGGGGCTGCTCTAATAAATCATCTTTGCAACTAAAATGTAATTTAGAACAATAACAATATATATTTTTTACACAGACTGATTTCTAAACACATTTATTGCAGTTTAAAAAGTCACATTACTGAGGTTTTTTGTTTTTTTTTTGCTGTGGAGCTCTTATATACACTCAGACCAATAATATGAAGCTCCTAGAAAAGAGGAATAATAGGATATAAAAGAGGGACAGTGCAATTTGGCATCAAATAGGGACTGTTCCTGCTAAACAGGAACACTTGGGAGTTCTGGATTTACCTAGCCCTGAATGGGTTAATAAGCACACATGGCTGCATGCAATCTGTACACACCAAGGAAGGAATCCGTGAAAACCCTCTGGGGACACACTTTTATTCCTCGATTCACAGCAGGATCACCTATAGGAGGAGAGGATCTGCTGTCTCCCTGCCTTCCTTCCCAGGCAAAGCAGCAATAATCTGTAAACCTGTCATTACACCACTCCCCCACTCATCCACTCCCACCCCAGCCACTACTCCTTGCACACACAGCAGAGCAGGAAACACACTGCAACAAGTGCCAGCAGCAAAGCTGCTCCTCTGGCTGGATAGAGGCAAAGTTTGTGAAGATGGGCTATCAGGGGGACTTGGAGTGACCTGGGGGGACATGTCTGTTCACATTTAAGGGAGCCCAGCACTGAAACCTCTCCTGAGTCCCTCCTCAGTCTGTCTTTAGGAAGTCAGCTTCTTCAAACTCAACGTGTCTGGGAAGGTGTACAGTGGGAGCTGTGCTCAGATAGAGGGGCTGCCAGGGAGGAGGGGGGAGACCATGTTGGACCCATCTTCCAGTGAGGAAGAGTCCGAGGACTTTCTGGATGAGGAAAGGCGAGATGTTCTGGTGGTTAATTCAGGTGGTGGTGGTGGACGATCTTCGCAGGGGGCTCCGCGGGACCCCAGAGATCCCAGTGCCCGATCTAATGTTGGGAGACCGGCCAGCCCCAGCCCCTCTGTGAGCAGCGAGGGCAGAGAGGAGTATGAGAGGCTGCAGAGGGAGGAGAAGGACAGAAGGAACAGGCTGCAGCTCTATGTCTACATTATGAGGTGCATCGCCTACCCATTCAATGCCAAGCAGCCCACCGACATGACCAGGAGGCAGCAAAAGGTAACTGTTACCCTCTGGTAGTGAGACGGTTAAATGATAGACCTTCAATTGAAGGAGGACTACAGCCCCCATGATGCTTTTCCAGTATTAAGACTAGCAGAGCTTCATGGGAGTTGTGATCCTACAATAGATTAGGGTCTCCCTCTGTCTTACCTACTCACCCCCGGTGACAGCAGGTGTCAGTCTGGTGGGTCCCACCTTCTCTGTCTCCAGGAGCACCTGTTACTGGATGCCTCTGGGCTGAGCCTTGTTTGGCTTCACTTGAAACAGTTACTGTTTGAAAAGAATACACAACACATTGTATCCACTGTATCTGTGAGCAGAGCTCATTAACTCTTATAATGTTTTGTTTTTTTTCCCTTACCAAAAATGTTATGACCCCTATAGTATTTATATTACTTATTTTTTTTTTTTTTTTATCCTAAAATCATGGGACCAATATCAGCCACAGTAATAATATCATAGAATGTCCATTATTGAATCATATTTAGATTGTAACAGTTAGGGAGAGATACGTGAATTATTATTTTTTATATATATATTTCTGGAATTCTTTTTAGTTATTTTTTTTTTTTAATGACAATCTCCATAAAAATCCTTATTCCATGCTAGGGCAGTCTTCTCAAAGCAGTCCGACCCTCCTACCCTGAAGTCCTCCGTTGTAATAATTTTAGTCTAAACAGGTGATTTTCATAGAGGGCACACACACTGCACAGGAATCACACGCAATCCACCAATCATAGAGATGCATTGGATATGAATTGAATTCTGTCAGAAGACCCATGTGGCTATTTGTCTGACAGCCACTAGTAGGCGTGAAAACAAAACGTAAACAGTGCTCTTTCTAGAAAGATAAAGTGATTTAGGTGCTTAGACTGTCTCTTTAAGGATGTTACCACTATGTGCACTACAGTCCAATTCCGATAGGCGTTTTTTAAATTCATTATTTGTTTTACTCTTCTACCTACTTGAAAAGTCTGTAGCTGTGTTATGCAATCTGTACTTCCAATTGAAGGTTATTATTATTATTATTATTATTGGCATTTATATAGCGCCAACATATTCTATGTCACTTTACAATATTATAAGAGGGAGAGCTTTAACTATAAATAAGACAATAAATTACAGGAACAATAGGTTGAAGAGGACCTGGCTCAAACGAGCTTACATCCTCCATGTTCCATGCAAACAAAGCATATAGTAATTACTCACATATCATTACTAAAAGGAGGTGGTAGTTGCCCACCCATCATTGTTCCTTGCCCCATGAGTGCCCTCTCAATGAACTGCATGACCAGTGGGAAGAGAAACCAGCCAGGCAGCCCTAATGCCAAGTGGAAGGAAGAAGAACTTGGTCCCCTTCTTGTACTGTGTTAGAGCATTGTTGTGTGTTACCATGGTAATGCTCTGTGTGTGTGTGTGTGTGTGTATGTATATATAAATATAATCTCCCTTATTCCCCACTGCTGCCCATCACTGCGCTAACCACTGTCCCAATCCCCCATTCCCCTTTACCCACTAAAGCCCTTATTACCCGCTCCACCAACAACCCATCACCCTGCACCCACCACACCCCAATCACTTCTCTGTATCCACCACATATCCTTTGCCTCTACTGCATCACTAAAGCCTCTAAAACCCCTTAACCCTCTACATTCCCTTCAGCCCCATCCTCCTCAGCACTAGTGTGTCTATCCTGCACAGCACCCACTAAAGGCCCGATCCCACCTGCTCCTGTTACCCCCTGTACACACCACACCCCTATTTTGCCCTAACTCCACTAAAGCCCCTGTTATCCTCTGCATCTACTACAGCCCATATCCCTCTACAGCCTCTAACCCTCCCTGCACCCAGCAGGGTCCTCCTCCCCCCCACACACTCCTTATCCTGCACCCTCTACAGCCCATATCCTCTCTGCACCCACTACCTCCCCCATCCATCTCCTGTACCCTCTACAGCCCATATCTTCCCTGCACCCACTACCTCCCCCATCCATCTCCTGTACCCTCTACAGCCTATATCCTCCCTGCACCCACTACCTCCACCATCCATCTCCTGTTCCTCTACAGCCCATATCCTCCCTGCACCCACTACCTCCCCCATCCATCTCCTGTACCCTACACGGCTCATACCCCCCTGCACCCTCCACAGCCACTATCCTCCCTGTACCCACTACCTCCCCATTCATCTCCTGTCTCTCTACAGCTCATATCCCCTGCACCCTATACTCTTCATCTCTCCTCCTGCACCCTATAGACCCCCTATTCCCCATGAAACCACTACATCTCCAATCCTTCTCCTGAACCCACTGCATCTACCATAGCCCTTAATATCCCATTCACCCACTACATCCCCTAATATCCCCTAATATCCCCTACACTTATTAAAGCCCCTATAACCCCATGCATGCATTACAGCCGTAAGCAGTTTACTTACCCTGAGCACAGTCCCTATCCCTTTCCTGCACCCACTAAAGTCTTTATCCCTCCTCTGCACCAACAGCCCCTCCACCCACTACAGCCCTTAAAGGACCACTCTAGGAACCCAGACCACTTCAGCTTAATGAAGTGGTCTGGGTGCCAGGTCCTTCTAGGGTTAACCCATTTTTTTATAAACATAGCAGTTTCAGAGAAACTGCTATGTTTATCAATGGGTTAAGCCTTCCCCCTAATCCTCTAGTGGCTGTCTCATTGACAGCCACTAGAGGCGCTTGCGTGCTTCTCACTGATTTTCACAGTGAGAGCACGCAAGCGTCCATAGGAAAGCATTGTAAATGCTTTCCTATGCGACGGGCTGAATGCGCGTGCAGCTCTTGCCGCGCGTGCGCATTCAGCCCAGGAGGAGGAGAGAAGGAGGAGAGCTCTCCGCCCAGCGCTGGAAAAAGGTAAGTTTAAACACCTTTCCCCCTTCCAGAGCCGGGCGGGAGGGGGTCCCTGAGGGTGGGGGCACCCTCAGGGCACTATAGTGCCAGGAAAACGAGTGTTTTCCTGGCACTATAGTGGTCCTTTAATACTCCTCCCCCCACTTAAGCCCCTATCCCTACCCTGTACTCACTACAGCCCATTCCATCCACTTCAGCCCCCAATACTCCCTTTAGTGATACTCCCTGCACTTACTAAAGTCTATATCCCCCCCCCCGCATGCACTACAGCCCTTATCCCTTCCCTTGCACTTGCTACAGCCCCTATCCTTCCCCTGCACCCACTACAGCCCCTATCCTTCCCCAGCAGGCACTACAGCCCCTATCCTTCCCCAGCAGGCACTACAGCCCCTATCCTTCCCCAGCAGGCACTACAGCCCCTATCCTTCCCCAGCAGCACTACAGCCCTATCCTTCCCAGCGAGCTACAGCTATCCTTCCCAGCACCCACTACAGCCCCTATCCTTCCCCAGCAGGCACTACAGCCCCTATCCTTCCCCAGCACACACTACAGCCCCTATCCTTCCCCAGCACCCACTACAGCCCTTATCTCTCCCCTCCTCCTCTACAGCCTCTATCCCCCTGCGATTGTTGCAACCTATTATTTGGAGGTGGCTATTAATAGCCCCTCTCCCCGGTTTTGAACACAGTATCATTTGTGCCCACCTCACCCTGTGTACTGTTCCTAGAGTCTCCACTCATTAAGCACATCAGATATATAAAAAGACCTAAAAAGACATTCATGTTCCTGATGCGCTAGAAAGTCTCATACACAAAAAGGTAGCAAAAGTCTTGACGCAGATCCAGTGTACAAAACCTGTCTACCAGGAATTTAGTCAAATGCTTCCACATTTCTTTATAGTACCAGCTGAATGACCTACGCTGTTCTGAGAACTTCTAGGTGACTAGTTAGAGCAAGAACAATGTATCTTATTTACACAGACTAATTTCTAAACACTTTTATTGTAGTTTAAAGACACATTACTGTGAGTTTTATTGCTGTGGAGCTCTGTTATACTCAGACACAGCAACAATATGGAGCTCCTAGAAAAGTGGGACAGTGTGATTTGGCCTCAAAATAAGGAATGTCCTTCCTAAACAGGGACACTTGGGAGTTCTGGATTTACCTAGCCCTGAATGGGTTAATAAGCACACATGGCTGCATGCAATCTGTACACACCAAGGAAGGAATCCGTGAAAACCCTCTGGGGACACACTTTTATTCCTCGATTCACAGCAGGATCACCTATGGGAGGAGAGGATCTGCTGTCTCCCTGCCTTCCTTCCCAGGCAAAGCAGCAATAATCTGTGAACCTGTCATTACACCACTCCCCCACTCATCCACTCCCACCCCAGCCACTACTCCTTGCACACACAGCAGAGCAGGAAACACACTGCAACAAGTGCCAGCAGCAAAGCTGCTCCTCTGGCTGGATAGAGGCAAAGTTTGTGAAGATGGGCTATCAGGGGGACTTGGAGTGACCTGGGGGGACATGTCTGTTCACATTTAAGGGAGCCCAGCACTGAAACCTCTCCTGAGTCCCTCCTCAGTCTGTCTTTAGGAAGTCAGCTTCTTCAAACTCAGCGTGTCTGGGAAGGTGTACAGTGGGAGCTGTGCTCAGATAGAGGGGCTGCCAGGGAGGAGGGGGGAGACCATGTTGGACCCATCTTCCAGTGAGGAAGAGTCCGAGGACTTTCTGGATGAGGAAAGGCGAGATGTTCTGGTGGTTAATTCAGGTGGTGGTGGTGGACGATCTTCGCAGGGGGCTCCGCGGGACCCCAGAGATCCCAGTGCCCGATCTAATGTTGGGAGACCGGCCAGCCCCAGCCCCTCTGTGAGCAGCGAGGGCAGAGAGGAGTATGAGAGGCTGCAGAGGGAGGAGAAGGACAGAAGGAACAGGCTGCAGCTCTATGTCTACATTATGAGGTGCATCGCCTACCCATTCAATGCCAAGCAGCCCACCGACATGACCAGGAGGCAGCAAAAGGTAACTGTTACCCTCTGGTAGTGAGACGGTTAAACCATGGTTAAATGGTAGACCTTCAATTGAAGGAGGACTACAGCCCCCATGATGCTTTTCCAGTATTAAGACTAGCAGAGC